TCCGCCGTGGGTTCTAACAAAGGAATATCTGAGGCTACAAGTGGTATGATAACGCTGTGTCGTAACTTTCCCCTATTCCCTTACACCTTTCGCTCTCATAACCTCATACCTCTCTATCATAACCTATCTCACACATGTGTGCATACACAGGAATTGTCTGTGTGTGATAATATGGAAGAGAAAGCTTGTGTGGGTGAATAGTCGTGCCCATATGACAGTAGGAGCCACACCAGCACACACACACATCAACGGAAAAAGAAGGGCAAAGACGAACACAAGCAACGATTCACGAGAGAATATAAAACAAATGAAAGAAAAGCTTGGATAGACTGGGCCTCTCTGCAAGAAAGTGACGATGAGTGAGAGGTTGTCTGAGGTACGAGACGGCAGGTGGAGGCGCCGACAGGAACAATAATTAACGCTGCTCAAGCATTAGGCTTGCGGTTGTGTGACGCCGATGTGTGAGGCAATGTCAATATTGGTTCGGTGATGAGACTGTTGTGTGGTGTGATGGTGTGGAAACTGTGGTGATGTGGCATGATGGTGTGGTGGTGATGTCCTTGACGATGCACCAACACCACCACTGGTGATTGTCAGCTTCCTGCAGTAGTGCGTCATGCAGCCGACTGTCCCCCGCACCCTTGTCTGTCCTCACCCTTGTCTTCACTGTCCACCACCCTTGTCTTCACTGTCCACCACCCTTGTCTTCACTGTCCCCCCACCCTTGTCTTCACTGTCCACCACCCTTGTCTTTACTGTCACCACCCAATGATACCTTAATTGGACATATGGTCTTCAGTCCTAACCACGACAAAACGTGTATATTAAATAAATCGCATAGTTCAGCATATTCACAATTCCATAGCCTAACAATTGTACCGACGTTGTCAACGGTAAGTAAAATAGGTCGTTTCCTGATCAATAGGAAATGAATACATTGCAAACCGTAAAAGTCTAACTTATTTCATGGTGCATCGATTAACTGCAAATAACAAATAATAACCTAAACAAATAAATGTTCGTCTGAAATTGGGTAATTATACAGCTTGTACATTGTACGGTGGAGCTAGGTGATGTGTCTGGATGGTTGTACACTACCATACAGCCAATTAAAACATTGATAGACGGAAGGTAACTGGAATGATCTATTGCCTCTTTTTCTAAATATTCAAAAAGTGTAAACAACGCCCTCGCCACCTAGACATATATTGAACGTCTCATAATCTATTATAAACAATATAGCCTAACTGAATTTATTGCGTGGGGAGTTTTTTTTTAATGTGTACAAATATTGACATGTTATCGTAAATCACAACCTTGAACCTTCACTCTTATGAGTCTCCACCTTGTCTGCCTCCGCCCTCACCTACCCCCGCACCTCCACCCTGAGTGACACCCATACTGTGACACTCCCCAACCCTGAGGTGACCCCAGTGACAGTGGTAATCCCCCTTACCCTGTGACCGCCCCCCTCTTCATCCCGTGACAACCCCCCCCCCCCACCCATTGAGTGACAGTGACAACACCCCCACCCTCATTTCCCATCCAGTGACACTCCCGTCATAGGCTAATGAAACTATCTAATAACCGTGGAGGACAGAAGCAGAAGAGATATGATCACAGCACAGAAGATACCAAGGGAAATTGACAATGCTTCCATTTTCTAGTCCGCCAATTTTTGACCTTATGTAGCCCATACGATCGAAATGGGACGTTCTTTGTAAGAAGACAGGTTGATGTGTGAGAGATCTGTAAACTGGTTCAGATGGTAAGCTCCAGCCTCTGGGCCCCACGTCTAGGTGCGTGTGCACATCACAACAGAAAAATTCAGTATGGAGAACACACCAACAATAAATACTAGAAGGCGACCTCAGTGAAAGGGAATGGTGCGTGAACTTAACGTGAAGGGTCAAAGGTTATAACGGGGGAGACGGTGGGGGTGGTGGACTAAGGGGTGGTAGCGGTGATAGCAATGGTGGTGGCAGTGATAGCAATGGTGGTGGCAGTGATAGCAATGGTGGTGATGGTGATAGCAATGGTGGTGGCAGTGATAGCAATGGTGGTGGCAGTAATAGCAATTAATGGTGGCGGTGATAGCAGTGGTGATAGCAATGGTGGTGGCGGGGATAGCAATTAATGGTGGCGGTGATAGCAATGGTGGTGGCGGTGATAGCAATGGTGGTGGCGGTGATTGCAATGGTGGTGGCGGTGATAGCAATGGTGGTGACGGTGATAGCAATGGTGGTGGCAGTGATAGCAATGGTGGTGGCGGTGATAGCAATGGTGGTGGCAGTGATAGCAATGGTGGTGGCGGTGATAGCAATGGTGGTGGCGGTGATAGCAATGGTGGTGGCAGTGATAGCAATGGTGGTGGCAGTGATAGCAATGGTGGTGGCAGTGATAGCAATGGTGGTGACGGTGAGAGCAATGGTGGTGACGGTGATAGCAATGGTGGTGGCGGTGATAGCAGTGGTGGTGGTTCTGCTGACTGTGGTGATTGTCGTGGTTGTGATGATATTGATGGTCATATTGGAGCTGATGGTGGGTGAAGTGGATCGTAGAGAGAGAATTCGGCACGATAACTACAAATGATAGAGAAAGTAGAATGCTCCTTGAAGGGTAAACACCTGGTCCTTAGCAAGGAAATATTGTGTGTGTGGGAACATGTGTTGTTGGAAGCAATGTATGTCAATCGAGCTTCAAGCAAGCAATTATGTTGGTCAGCATGTTGATCGTCGTATTGCATAACAGACGATAACAGTCAACTACGGGGATCGTTGGTGTATCGTGCTCTGCTCTACTGCCCATCTGGTGAAAGTGAGATAGGTCAGTGGAAATATCACCTCATAAGAGGCTGTATAATTCCAATTTCCGTTATTTGATCAAGTATCTTACCAAATGAAAATTTTCAGTGTGTGTGCGTGCCTTAAGGAGCCACTAGAGTTTATTTGTGTGTATTGCGGCGACTTTTATATAATCTTAACTAAGACGGTGATCAGATTTGTCATTTAATTCCACCAATGAATTTCTGCAGTTTGTGAATGTGCATTTGTTTACACTCGTATAATCTTCCTGTGATTGTTGTTGACTGATGGGCGAGGACGGTGGTGGGATCGGATGCACCCTTTCTATGAGTGTCGTGTATATATATATACTGTGTTTACAGTTAGATTAACTCGAAGCTAGGATATATATATTTAATTTGAACCCTAGGAGCGTCGAACCACCGACCCCAAGAGCGGGAGACGGTCGCTGTAGGATAGACTCTTACATCCCCACAAGTAAGAGACACCAGGACTCTTGCATCAAGCAACATAGCTACCACTTACTGAACCTTTACAGTGTTCCCATATTCTCCCAATTATGACACAGTGACTGATACTGTCTAACAGAACCACCTGTTGTGGTTCTGGACCAGGTGGTTTACAAACCTGTTGTGGTTCTGGGCCAGGTGGTTTACACACCTGTTGTGGTTCTGGACCAGGTGGTTTACACACCTGTTGTGGTTCTGGACCAGGTGGTTTACACACCTGTTGTGGTTCTGGACCAGGTGGTTTACACACCTGTTGTGGTTCTGGACCAGGTGGTTTACACACCTGTTGTGGTTCTGGACCAGGTGGTTTACACACCTGTTGTGGTTCTGGGCCAGGTGGTTTACACACCTGTTGTGGTTCTGGACCAGGTGGTTTACACACCTGTTGTGGTTCTGGGCCAGGTGGTTTACACACACCTGTTGTGGTTCTGGACCAGGTGTTTACACACACCTGTTGTGGTTCTGGACCAGGTGTTTACACACACTTGTTGTGGTTCTGGACCAGGTGTTTACACACACCTGTTATGGTTCTGGACCAGGTGTTTACACACACCTGTTGTGGTTCTGGACCAGGTGTTTACACACACCTGTTGTGGTTCTGGACCAGGTGTTTACACACACCTGTTGTGGTTCTGGACCAGGTGTTTACACACACCTGTTGTGGTTCTGGACCAGGTGTTTACACACACCTGTTGTGGTTCTGGACCAGGTGTTTACACACACCTGTTGTGGTTCTGGACCAGGTGTTTACACACACCTGTTATGGTTCTGGACCAGGTGTTTACACACACCTGTTGTGGTTCTGGACCAGGTGTTTACACACACCTGTTGTGGTTCTGGACCAGGTGTTTACACACACCTGTTGTGGTTCTGGACCAGGTGTTTACACACACCTGTTGTGGTTCTGGACCAGGTGTTTACACACACCTGTTGTGGTTCTGGACCAGGTGTTTACACACACCTGTTGTGGTTCTGGACCAGGTGTTTACACACACCTGTTATGGTTCTGGACCAGGTGTTTACACACACCTGTTGTGGTTCTGGACCAGGTGTTTACACACACACCTGTTGTGGTTCTGGACCAGGTGTTTACACACACACCTGTTGTGGTTCTGGACCAGGTGTTTACACACCTGTTGTGGTTCTGGACCAGGTATTTACACACACACCTGTTGTGGATCTGGACCAGGTGTTTACACACACCTGTTGTGGTTCTGGACCAGGTGTTTACACACCTGTTGTGGTTCTGGACCAGGTGTTTACACACACCTGTTGTGGTTCTGGACCAGGTGTTTACACACACCTGTTGTGGTTCTGGACCAGGTGTTTACACACACACCTGTTGTGGTTCTGGACCAGGTGTTTGCATACCTGTTGTGGCTCTGGACCAGGTGTTTACACACACCTGTTGTGGTTCTGGACCAGGTGTTTACACACCTGGTCCATAACCTTTACTAGAGCTTGCGAACTTTGTACACTTATTGTATTCATCAGGAGACCATTTTATCAATAGTGTATATAATATATACATATATGGCATATAACGTTGTATATATGTATATAGCGTTATGTGCGAGAGATATGACAAGATGGGAGATCACAGGTGGTGGTGAGACGTCCTCCTCTGTGAGGAGGACGTCTTACATAGAGCTCCTTAACGCTGATTAGCATGAGAGTTTGGACCTACCTTACGGTGCTCCTTGGAGAGTCTTGGGTACACCAAGTGTCTTGTAGCCTTCTTCTCCACTCACTTAAATCCTCATTGGAGCACTCGCCACTGTACTACGGCACACGGACACTTTCATTAAGGTTTCACTTCACTCATCACTTGCACTTTAGAGAGGATAAACTGAGGGGGAAAGGAAGAGTAGGGGACGGAGTGCGGGTGCTCACTACGCCAAGCCGCGTTGACATTACCAGCACTCCCAGGCCGCCTCCCCACCTCCCGCCACCCTTCACCACCTCTTATTTTAGCGAATTAGTATTGAATCTCTGATTTTGTGCTTATACTTCCCACCGCCGAGGAATTCAAAGTATATTAGAATCTCAAATTTTATCATTGTACTGATACGAGACAATTGATATCCAAATATGAAACTTTATTCCGTGGGGTTGACTTACTGAAACGCGAAAATATATATTGTCGCTAAATATTTTATTGACCAATCGCAAGTCTTAACACCAGTTACGTTTCATCCCAGCCAATGACAGACTTGCTAGATATATGACGACATAAGACGTCACACATTTAGACCAATCCCTGAGCTAAATATGAATGACGTCAGAGTTTGACGACCTGGAGCCGAGGTTCGGCAGGAGTGCGTGTTTCAGGTGCGGCGCGAGCAGGTGTGGGGGAAGGTGCGCTCTTCCGTCCTAAACCTAAACATGTTTACATCCGCTTGTATTTCATAATGTACTAGCAAACGCAACTACAATCGCCGGTAACACTCTTGACATCAACGGTAAGGCAGTATAGTAACTACACTCCGAGGTGTGAGGTAGGAATTACCGTTGCTTCCTTCAGTGTTTGACGGCCCCGTTGTTTACACTCAACTGAGGAGTTATGAATGGAATACTGTTAGTTTACGTCTATGTTAGTATAGTTTACCTGGCTGAGGGTGACACTATAGTACCGGGGGATACAAGGTGGTTTGTCTAGCCTGTCAGTGATGTCACAAGTGGAGTACCACAGGGTTCTGTTCTTGCACCAGTGATGTTTATTGTCTACATAAATGATCTACCAGTTGGTATACAGAATTATATGAACATGTTTGCTGATGATGCTAAGATAATAGGAAGGATAAGAAACTTTAATGATTGTCATGCCCTTCAAGATGACCTGGACAAAATAAGTATATGGAGCACCACTTGGCAAATGGAATTTAATGTTAATAAATGCCATGTTATGGAATGTGGAATAGGAGAACACAGACTCCACACAACCTATATATTATGTGAGAAATCTTTAAAGAATTCTGATAAAGAAAGAGATCTAGGGGTGGTTCTAGATAGAAAACTATCACCTGAGGACCACATAAAGAATATTGTGCGAGGAGCCTATGCCACGCTTTCTAACTTCAGAATTGCTTTTAAATACATGGATGGCGATATACTAAAGAAATTGTTCACGACTTTTGTTAGGCCAAAGCTAGAATATGCAGCAGTTGTGTGGTGCCCATATCTTAAGAAGCACATCAACAAACTGGAAAAGGTGCAAAGACATGCTACTAAGTGGCTCCCAGAACTGAAGGGCATGAGCTACGAGGAGAGGTTAGAGGCATTAAATATGCCAAAACTAGAAGACAGAAGAAAAAGAGGCGATATGATCACTACATACAAAATAGTAACAGGAATTGATAAAATCGGTAGGGAAGATTTCCTGAGACCTGGAACGTTAAGAACAAAAGGTCATCGATTTAAACTAGCTAAACACAGATGCCGAAGAAATATAAGAAAATTCACTTTCGCAAACAGAGTGGTAGACGGTTGGAACAAGTTAGGGGAGAAGGTGGTGGAGGCCAAGACCGTCAGTAGTTTCAAAGCGTTATATGACAAAGAGTGCTGGGAAGACGGGACACCACGAGCGTAGCTCTCATCCTGTAACTACACTTAGGTAATTACAGTGATCCAATCTTTACGGCATAACTTGGTTATATTTGTTGAAAAAAAAACTTAGTTATTGAGAATTATAATAAAATTAGTATAATTATTTTTTGAACTCGATGGAAATCGAAATACAGTAGTTATTTTCGTGTGCAGTGTTCATATATATATATATATATATATATATATATATATATATATATATATATATATATATATATATATATATATATATATATATATATATATGTATTTCGTTGAAAACGACAAAGTTTTAGATTTATGATTCAGGCACGGATCTTCTCGATATTCCTTATGTTTTTCTTCACTGAAGCAGGAAGTTGGACAAATAACTCTCCAAAGTTCATTTTTACCTTTTATTTATAATATTTTTATTTACAAAGTTCTTTATCTTTTCGCCCCACACAACGAGACGATCACCAGGGATATTTTGACGAGCAACACCGAAATAATTGATAGATACAATTATTGATGTTTAATCTTCTGTTAGGTGATGTCTAATCTTCTATTAGGTGATTAGATGTCTAATCACCTAATAGAAGATTAGACATCAGTGAAGTTACATACTACCCACTTCAAGACTATATACAAATGTGGGGACCCATAGCCTCGGAGAAGAAAATAAGGAGTATTCAGAGAAGACCTTGTGGATCCTCACTGAACACTGACATTTTCTTCTCCTACCACCCCTATTCTTTTGCTATGTGTTGTGTGTATATAGTATAATATATATTATATATATATATATATATATATATATGGATTTTTTTATATAAATACACGTCATTAAACACAGCAGCATTGTGACTTTTTTCATGTGAATATTTTCCATTCTACATAAATATAAGTAGAAAATGTATATAAGTAGATCACACTAGATCGTAGATCTAGATCTACTAGATCGTAGATCTACTAGAGAAACGCCATAGATCACTTAATTTTTCTATTTGACTGTTCGACGTTTCGTCAGCAATGTGACATTTGTTTTAGATTCAGCTTCTCGGAACAAAAGTTCCAAGTAGCGGCACGGGCTATGGTAAGCCCGTAGTGGACTTATATCCGGCACAGGAGCGAGGCTGTAACTTCTTCTTACATGATTGATTGATTGATAAAGATTAAGCCACCCAAAAGGTGGCACGGGCATGAATAGCCCGTAAGTAAAGGCCCTTTGGAACCATTACCAGTAAAATAGTTGATATTGGAGATCTGTGGATGGATGGGATCTTCATGGTCGCTCGCAGTTTATGGCCCGCATGATGTTTGGTCGTCAGGTTGCAGTTTAATGTGCAAAGCGACGCTCTATATCTGAACAGAGCAACCTCGGTAGTTTGGTACCACATCAGGATTGTTGTCCTTTTCGAGGAATTGCATTTGTCTGGGAATTTCCGGTGGAATTCTGGGGCGCGATATTTTTTTCAGTATTGTCAGATCACTGTGAGAGTTCATGGTGTGGGCGTGGACAGACATACATATGTTCTGGCTGATTATCTTGTTACATCTGTGGGCCAATTTTCGTCTGGTGTGTGCGTTGCCATTGAACTCGCTGGGCGGAATGAACAGCACATGGCAAGTACTTGTCTTCGTCGTCGGTCGCGAGGCCGTTCTCGTCGACGTCGGTGGTGGCTCTGGAGAGCCTCTTGGTGTTGCTTGTGAGAGTTTCGGATGGTCCCTTGTCGTCTTTGGATGTGATATCTTCGTTGGCAGGGGCAGTCAGTGTGGGTGGCGTCCCTGTTACCGGACTGGTTGTGGGGTTGGACACCGGGCCGACCGCAGGTGGTGGAACTGAGAGAAGATCACCTGGTACCGTCATCGTCGGAAGTCCATTTGCGGTGAGCAGCCTGTTGATGGTGTGGACGTATAGGTCCTTTTTTCTTACATGATTGATAAAGATTAAGCCACACACAAGTTGTGGCACGGGCATGAATACCCCGTAATTCTTACATGCAGAAACATGGACATTTAAAAGTATAGGTTCATCTCACTTTACGATTCACTTAACCTCCTTAATCATAGGAAGCACCGAAAGATAGGGTGAGGTAATTGATGCCAACTAGAAGCTGTAATCAGGCCTCAGTTAACTCGCCCTATCCTTCGGCGTTCCACTTAATGTTTACTAGGTAGTCCTCAACCCTTGGGATAGAATTTCCCTGGACGACTGCGGAGCTTCTAAACTATAGTCAATACTACAGTTGAGGGGTGACATGTAGTTCGCACCCTCAGCTGACATGTACTGTTAGCTTACTCAGGAAGGTGGCCAGACGTCCTGCCTGAGAGCACTCTAGCCTCCGTTATCTCAAGCGGCACGCTAATTTGTCCTTTTTGGGGTCTGTCCAAAAAAATAATAAATGGTACATAGGCTACTTCCATTAGTTTGTGGAGTAAGTTAAATTGGTTAGCATATACTGCTGCAGCGAAAATAAAAATTAATTAAATTCTTTATATATTACATACATGTCTGGTGTTTTTTATACAGTAAAAATAGTGAGTTTTAACAAAATTAATTTAAGAAAATATCACCAAATAGCATTTATCAGATTATAGAGACATTTGAATATATATAATAGGGTGTACCCTACGAGAGGGTGTGCCCTACCTTATAGGGTAGCCTATGCTTGCGCAACCCGGAAACATCTTCCTGTGCTGGCTAACGGCGAATGATAATCACAGGATGAAACGCGTTTGTGGCAACTGAGGTACAGTTATCACTTAGTCTATTCATGTCTTAACTGTACAAGACAGTCATATGGCTCACTATAGATTGATGGTCTCATGTTAGTTTGTCCATGCCCAATATCTTGTGCATGCGTACGCACAAATACAAGTACTGTAAAAGCATTAATTTCCCACGCAGCTTGTGCATAACAATAGGTGGTAGAGCCCGTTAAGGTGGGACCGAACTCAGAACCACTAGAACGGTATTCACGTATGTTACCATCAACCGTTGCCTTACTGGGGATGCATGGGGAATCTCCACGGACACGTTTGACTACGTGCATAAGACTGGACCTAGATTCACTAAGCAATGTGTGTTGGATGTAAACTGTGTAAGAAACCCTCTACACGTGATTCAGCAGTGAGCTTGCGTAGTTATTAAGGATTCTGTTCTGGCCCAAGAGCTACAGAAGCATTTAAGCAAATTACTTTAAGATAAATGAGTCCATTTAATAATATCGCCAAACAATATTTATAGGACTGTAGGCATATGCCACACCCCATGATTGTCAATTATCGTGTCTGAGGACGGCGGTGGGCCAAGACTCCCGTTCTTACAGACTTACAGCCTTCATACTACAGTATATGGATGCCTGTAGTTATGTTTTATCCATGCATAAGTGTCTTGTTGATTTACACGTATGGTAGTGCTTGTAGTTTGATATTTGCGCACCTGTGGTTATTTCGTATGTGTGTAGGGTTATATTATCACGCGTTGATGCTTCATAGGGGATTGATTGTTCCGTGTGTGTGTGTGTGTGTGTGTGTGTGTGTGTGTGTGTGTGTGTGTGTGTGTGTGTGTGTGTGTGTGTGTGTGTGTGTGTGTGTGTGTGTGTGCGCGCGCGCGCGCGCACTGTTGTGTTCATATTTGTTTTGCATGGTTGAATAGTTTTCGTGTCTGGATGCATTTTCATATACCTTGCACACAGCTGTACGGTAATTTGTGCCTTGCACCGCTGCGTGGTTTATGCGTACATGTAGTCGTGTAAGTCATCTTGTGTGTGTTTATGCCTTAATACCACACCACACAAAAGCACATTGAAAACGCCACCATTAACACACGAACGAAACACGTTTTGTCTGAGCTCTCTCTTGGTTATATATATGTGGTCATTGATGGAGATGTTACTAGCTAAAATAGTAATCGCCTCTGGTTTGTGCTGAAGAAAGTGTCATATGTTTATACAAAAATTAACTAGTGTTTATAATAGATTTCGATGAGTGATGGTGAGGCTGGCTGGCTGATTGGTGGGATTAGTACATACTGAAGCTGGACGTCTATAGCGCACCCCCAACAATAGTTCTGTACATGTAGGTGAAGCTGGTGTCTACAGCCACACCCCCAACAAGCTGACATAATGATGAGCAGCGAGTTTGTATTGGAGCTCATCAGCGTCTTCCACACAGGACCCGTAAGTGTGTCTGTCTTTTATCGCATTTCTGTTTCTTTATACACCAACACTTGTATGTTGCCACTATACCAGCGTCCGTATGCTCCTCATACACTAAAAATTGTACATTGCCCATACACAAAAAAAAAAAGTCTTTGTTGTTGTTTCTGAGCCGACACTTTAATTGGTAACACTTTGTTGTATGTTGTTGATGCACAAACAAAACGTTTGTGCATGAATATCATTTGTATGTTGATACATCACTCCTCAGTGTTAGATGCTGACACACACTACTGTATTATACCTTATCACTTCTATTTTGATGAATGTAACACGTGTGTTTGTTACTGACACAGGTGGAGCCCGGGTCCTGTGTGCAGAAGCTGGTGGGAAATGTACCTACTGGAGTCATCCTCAAGGACGTCTCCCTCGAGATTCACGGTGGAGAACTGATGGCCATCCTGGGCTCCAAGGGTGAGTGGTGACCATCGTCGACTTATCCCTTCTCCCCCACGTAAAAGTATGCGCAGTGCCATCTAAATTGTGTACTTTCCTTCTTATTTATTACCAGTAAGATTGATTTGTTTATTTATTTGATAGAATTTGTGACGAATGACCTTCATCGTAACCCCTCCATGATTGCTGATGCTGTCACGTCTGCCATTAGGTAGTGGAAAGCGTGCCCTGCTGGAGGTAATCTCTCGGCGTGCACAGGGGCCCACCCGAGGTCAGATCCTCTTGAACCATGTGCCCATGTCGCTACGCCTCTTCCAGGACTCCTGCGGCTACGTCACTCACCGGACACAGCTCCTGGAGGGACTCACAGCCAAGCAGACCCTTGAGTATGCTGCCAAGCTCTCCCTCAGCTCCAAGGTCAGTGTGACCTTAATAGTGTCAGTATTATGGTCAGTGTTGTCCTTAATAGTGTCGATATCAAGGTCAGTGTTGTCCTTAATAATGTCCGTATCAAGGTCAGTGTTGTCCTTAATAATGTCCGTATCAAGGTCAGTGTTGTCCTTAATAGTGTCAGTATCAAGGTCCATGTTGTCCTTAATAGTGCCAGTATCAAGGTCCAAGGTGTCCTTAATAGTGTCAGTATCAAGGTCCATGTTGTCCTTAATAGTGCCAGTATCAAGGTCCATGTTGTCCTTAATAGTGTCAGTATCAAGGTCCATGTTGTCCTTAATAGTGCCAGTATCAAGGTCCATGTTGTCCTTAATAGTGTCAGTATCAAGGTCCATGTTGTCCTTAATAGTGCCAGTATCAAGGTCCATGTTGTCCTTAATAGTGTCAGTATCAAGGTCCATGTTGTTCTTAATAGTGCCAGTATCAAGGTCAGTGTTGCCCTTAATAGTGTCAGTATCAAGGTCCATGTTGTTCTTAATAGTGCCAGTATCAAGGTCAGTGTTGCCCTTAATAGTGTCAGTATCAAGGTATGGCAGTGTTCTTAATAGTGCCAAAACCGAGGTCTGAATGCATTGCTCTTAATAGTAGTAGTAGTTTCGAAGTATATATAGAGGAGCCAAACGGTTGGGTTTGTGAGTATTGAATTTCAAGAATAGTTTGTGATACGAGCTAGTTAATATAAGTTACACATTTCTTGTGACGTTTGATTTTCTTGCAAGTTTTGTTATATGTAATGTAGTGTGTGATGTAGCATTGTTGCAGAGACATTATTTATTGCAATGGCTCCACAGGGAGTCTTATGCACGAAAGTCTAACTGGGATGGTTGTGTAACTATAAAGAAGATTAAAGAAGATTAATTACATGATCAATGTGGTGTGAACTAAGCCATTCAGACTAGAATGTCATAGTTGCCTGGTTTTTCCTTACATCAGTTGGGAAACAGTGGTTTTGGTGTGCATCGTGTGGCACCAAGTCAAATTTATTGACTCTCCTTCCACCCATTATTTTGCTGGCCGACTTTTCTTTTTCACCTGTTGATGATACTTTTCCTTCTTCAGATTGGGAGTTCAATGCGGAGTGGTCGAGTTCGGCAGGTGCTGGCCGATCTGGCTCTCACTCAGGTGGCCAATCGACCAGTGGAGCAGCTCACTCCTTCAGAGTACCGCAGACTCGTCATCGGCGTCCAGCTCATTAAGGATCCTTGTGAGTATAGAGCCTCACCTATCTGTGACTCATAATAATACAATGACAATAATAATTTAATAATTCATTGTGTCAGGGGACAGGAAGCCAGAGTGTATTCATACACGGTAAACTTATATCGAGCCCCCCCCCCACCATCCCCAAGGCCGCATTACTGACCCTGCCCAGGATGCAACCCCCACAACAAGGTGATTAACTCCTGAGTACCTACTCACTGCAAGGTGAATAGAGGCATTAGGTGAAAGGAAATGTGCCCAACCATTTCTGTCCAGACTGGGATTCGAACCCAGAATTCTTGTTTGTGCGTCGAGAACGAACCCGACTATACTACTTCGACCCTTGTAATAGTTGGTGCTTCAGTTGCTCTGTTGACTGAGATCTACGTTTCAAGTTTAGGTGACGCATGTGGAGCTCAATGGTAATGTAGGAATTTAGTATTGTTGTTCATGTACCAACCCGTTCTCGCAAATTTAATAAGTCAATATTGACTTATTAAATATGTGCATAGGTGACATACTTAACATAATAGATACCCTTAAAAAGATTCATAGAAAACACCGACCTTACCTAACCTTGTTAGTATCTTAAGATAAGCATCTTATTGCTTCGTAATTACAATTATTACCTAACCTATAATAGGTATAGGTTAAGTAATAATTGTAATTACGAAGCAATAAGATGCTTATCTTAAGATACTAACAAGGTTAGGTAAGGTCGGTGTTTTCTATGAATCTTTTTAAGGGTATCTATTATGTTTAGTATATCACCTATGCACGTAGTTAATAAGTCAATATTGACTTTACGAATTTGCGAGAACGGGTTGTCATGTACACACAAGTGGCCATGCTGTCATATTGTCAGAAGGGAAGGGGACTATCAGGAGAAAGTGTCAAGCCATTATGCCTATATAGCAAGGTAGTAGATTTATGGAATATATCTCAAACCTTTTACCCAATAAACTAAAGGATAATTTCTCAACCCATGTATATGTTTGTGTATTAGTGGTGCTGCTGCTGGATGAGCCAGCGTGGGGGCTTGACCCTCTCAATACCTACTTCGTCATCTCCATCCTCAGTAACCATGCCAAGAAGTATAATCGCATCATTATTATTACCATGGAGAAGCCCAGGTCAGTTCCCTCTCTGGCTTTCTCTCATTTCATACTTCTCACTTTTTCTGTATACCTAAACAAATACAGTACTGTACATCTGTTATAATAAATTTCAACTCATTGCTATCTTTCATGTCTCATATTTACATGCTATTTGCACAATATCCATCTCCATGAGCCCACTTACCTCAATTATATTGTGTAATGGTTGCTCCATGATAGGTCAGACATCCTGCCCTTCCTGGACCGTGTGACATACTTGTGTCTTGGTGATGTGGTGTACACTGGCTCTACTAGACACATGATCGATTACTTCAGGAGTATTGGCTTTCCCTGCCCGGAGCTAGAAAATCCACTTATGTATTACTGTAAGTACTGTATATTTGTATTGCAATATTGTTTTCAGATATTGGTTACAGATTGGAGTAAGTGGTGTCACCAAAATCTCATAAAGATAAGAGTGACCACATAACTATATCCTACTTGCTTTCTTTTCTTATATAGCTTGACAATCTTCAGTCAACAGCAAGCCACACCACCTCCAGGGATTCTGCAAATGTTAAAATGTTTTAAGTTTTGTGGCACTACAAGAACATAAGAAATATGGAATGTGCAGAAGGCATATTGACCTGCAGGGTTAGTTTAGTTCATTTATTATGCACCCCATAACCATCTTGTGGGTGGTAGTGGAAAGGTTTACAGAGGCACATAATGGGCCCAGGGACTGAACCCCACAACTCATTTAGCTAAGCAAGTTACAATCTTGATGAGTTATTTACAAAATTCACCTGCAGGGAAAAACACAATAGACACCGAAACCTTAGGAATAATCAAAAGAACTTTCTACTTCAAGAAAAAGAAAATGGTTATACAAATGTACAAGTCTTAGGTGCACCCCCCCATTTGGCCTACTGAATCCAAGTATGGAGCTCTCACGTTCAGAAGGACATATCTAGAGAAAATTCAATAAATCATCCCAGAATTAAGTCAACTCTCATACCAGGAATGGTTGAGGGCCAGAGGACTAACACCATTACAAATCAGACATGAGGGGGCTGATCTCATCGAGACCTTTAAAATACTTAATAAATTGGAAGATATTAATTAAACAACTTCTTTAAAAGGTTCAGTCTAACCCACACAAGTAATTATCAAAAGATGGCTCCAAGCTGGGAAAACAAGACTATGTAGCCTAATCCACACAAGGGGCAACCACTTCCTGTCCCCATTGAGGCAACTACAAATGGGGGCCCTTGGGTAAATGTGCTAATCCAACCGATGCTTGAAACTTTTCAAAGTGTTTGCTTTTTATAACGGTACTTGGTAACTTGTTACACAGATCTGTAACCCTATTTTAGAACCAGTACAGTATTTACCTATTTTATAAATCTAAACTTATTCAATTTTAAACCATTGTTTCATGCTTTAAATTGGGCAGATTGTAAAACTACATTTATTCCTCATGTTCAGCCCTTTCATTACTCTGTAATTTTGGACTTACCAAATGACATTTTCTTTCTGTAGTGTGTCTGTCAACAGTGGACCGCCGCTCAAGAGAGCGGTTCATTGACTCCAATAACCAGATTGCTGCCCTGGTGGAAAAGTTCAAGGTCGAGGGTGGACCTTATCGTAAATACTCAGGGCCATCTCCAGATGTTGACCATTTAGAACATAAGGTGCCTCTATCTGCATATGGCAGACCAGGAATCTTCTCCACCATGCTGGCCCTCTTGGGGTGTGTAACCTAAGGGTTTTGTTGGGTAATATAGTCATAGTTTTGAGCTAAGTAGTACTGTTGTTCTGTTGGATAATGTTGTCATGTTGAGAGGGTCCTACTAAAGTATAGTCAAATGATTCTACTTTGTAAGCTAGTCATGGGATCCTGTTAGTGAATGTCTTGCTGGACAGTGTAATCATAGGGTAGGGGATCCTGCTTGACAGTGTAATCATAGGGTAGAGGATCCTGCATGACAGTGTAATCATGGGGTAGGGGATCCCGCTTGACAGTGTAGTCAAGAGGGTTTTATTTTACAAAACATCTGCAAAAAGTAATCTGAGGATGTTGCTGGTTAGTAAAAGCCTGCTAAATAGTGCAGTCAGTGAGCCTTTATGGGGCGATTCCTCAGAGGGTCTGGCTGAATGGTATGACCAGGGAGACTAATAATAAACCAAGGAAATAATACAGCCTTCTTGACTTGGCCTTCCTCTTCTGCATCATCATTAAGTATTTCATATTCTGCAGACGAGACTACACCATGATGTTCCCCTGCAGCTACGTTGGTGTTGAGCAGCTCTTCTTCAGGATGTTCTTGCTGCCAGCATTTTTCTTTCTCCTCTGGAACTTTTACTGGCAACTTGAGGTAAGATGTTTCATCTGTGTCAGGGAGCTTTGGTTTGATCAAGCAAATAGTTTTATATATAATTGTATTAAGTTCTTGAGGTTTGAAATTGTTGTACTATACTTGTTTTGTATAGCTATACAATTCATATTGTTCTTGTAATTTATCTTGTTTTATTTGTGTATTATATGTACAGCTTGTTCTTGTTTACATTACTGAGAAGCTACCCACAAATGGGTATTTCATTACACTGAAGAAGAATCACTCTTGCATAGTTTATCTTAATTAGGCCAGTTGTCTTTGCTGTTATTGTTAGCATTAGATATTGTGAATGTACTATTGTAACATTTACCACTTAATTTATACAATCCAAAATATAGTAGTGTGTACCCTTTAGCATTAAGTATCTATCTAGAAAGCTATTATTTGTAAATTTCTGTTAATGTGTTTATGTTCACATACGTCAATTTGCATCTTCGTACAGCAGTACATTTTTTGGCAATACAGTGATGTATACTTAATACTAACGGAAACACATTAATCTTAATGTTTGCCTGAAACACTGTGTACAGTGTATGTGATTAGTGGCTATTATAAAAATATAAATACCTACTGTACAATCACTGTAATCAGATACTCTTTTAAATTTTATAAATAATATTATATTATAATACTGTGTACCATGTGCAGGCGATGAGTCACAATAATGTGGCTAATGTATGTTGACCAGACCACACACGAGAAGGTGAAGGGACGATGACGTTTAGGTCCATCCTGGACCATTCTCAAGTCGATCACTGTATACTGTAATAGTTAACAATTATTTATATGGTATTATAGTATGTGTACTTAAATTTCTTCAACTTTTATACATATATATACCGTAATTGTTTACACAATGGCGTATAAACTTGAGCCGATTAAATTATAGTTACTTGAATATACCTGACAGCCACTATCACTAGTGGTGCCAGCAGCTTGTCAAAGGTCACCCCCCATTATTCTTAACAGTTTTATCCAAGCCAAATTTTAAACTTGGCTACAAATAATCATAAAAAGAAATATACAAAAATCATGTAAGTATTTACATTTAAGATTGAGAAAATCTTTTGAGCAGTGTATGGAAAGATATCTATGAGAATATCACATTATATGGTAGTCATTTTATTATGTTTATTTAGGATTTGCTTATTGTTTCACTAATATACTCTATACCATATTTGCATAAGTGAACTTCAGTTACAATATATAAAAAAATGGGTTTACATATTTTAGGCTCTATATCTTTGGGGGTAAGTATTAGTTTCATATAAGGAGAATTGCTGCACTAGTACATTTACAGTGTTTTAATATGAACAATACAGTACTATATTACTGACCTTTCTGCATTTTTCCATTCTTTTTTACCTTCCCTTACAGTTTGATACTGAAGATAGACTGACACAATCCCCTCCTATTTCAGCCTTTCCAGCGGTCATTCCAGAGTCGTGGAGGGTTGCTTTTCAATTGCTTGGCTGGGACAGCCTTCCTTGCTACAGCTGCCACATCTAAGACATGTTAGTCTTGTGTATTTTTGTTCTTCTCCAAATCAGCAGTGCTTTCCTATAAGTTAATTCTTAACTTTTCTGACAACTTAAATTTTGCTTAAAGTTTTGTCAATTTGTTTATCAGGTGTAATTCAACATTGTTAGACATGAGGGACCAGGTAACAAATCATTCGGCTTACTAAACTAGTTTTTTTTTTACTAGACTCATGGATATAATTACTTTGAAATGGCAGTGAGAATACATGTAGCCCAAGTTCTTGAAATTTAAATTAAAAATACGTAATGTACAGTATGATGATATAACTGTTCATTATGACATGTAAATTTATGCCCACTATCCACCCCATCTGGGAGTAGATAAAAACGTTTATAAATGTGAATGTTTTCACGAATTTAAATTTTTATTCACTCGGCTCTTATTTTTCATTAAAGCTCTAAATTTTTTATTGCCTCTCTGTGCGCTGACACTTCAGTAACTTGCCATACCTTAGCCTCTGGTCTTTGTATGGCACAAGCATCATGCCAGGCTTTGAGTAGCCTCGTGCTCCAATAGCACAAGTACCATTTAAAATCTTATGAAAATCAAAAGGAGCCACGAGGAGGATATCGAATCCTCCTCATGGTTCCTACTACTCTGACACATCACGTTAATGTGATTTCTTTGTGTATTTAAAATCCTCTTGTCCCCCCCCCCCCTTCCCTTTGTAACAGGGCAGAAATTTCTATGGAAATCTTTCCTCAATCTAACAGATAACTGCTTGCTATGAGAGACAGCAACCCTTCAAATTTCTCAAGACTCCTGATAAACCTTAACCGTTAGAGGCTTGACAAGAATCATTCCGAAACATCGTAAAGACCCAACGCCTAGCTACACTTAAATACCACTAGCTGGCAGTACTTTTGTCTGGTGATTTTGGCATCAGGCGGCAAGAGACTGCAGAGTCAAAATACCATTGAGAAGTTTTAGAATGTTTCTTGGAAATTTTATTATGTTGCACAGGAGTCTGCTTTGTGAATGTTGTTTCCACTATACTTGTGTCTACACACTTTTCAGTTTGATTCTCCATTCTTTGTGTGGCAATCTTTCCTGGCACCAATTGTGAGCCCCAACAGTTACTGGTGACTCTCTTCAGCTTGTCCGACTCCTTTCAAGTTGGGTCTAGAAATTATTAATAAGTATTTATGGGGACTTTGTCTCCTAACCTTAGCCTTCGAGTTGAATTTATAAGATGAACACTTGTACAAATGAACAAGGGCCGTGATGAGAGTTCGAACCTTCGTCCGGCTCTTGTGGATTTGTTCATTTGATGTATCACGCTATTGTGATTTCTGTGTAATCACTTGGGTTATTGTGTTCATGTTATAACACTTCCTGTTATTGCCCTGTTACTGTGGTTCAATATCTTTGATGGACTTTAGGCTGCATTCCTTTTAACTTAAATCTTTGAATATGTTAGATATGAAGTCACTGCACATCCTCTCAAGTGTACTCTATATATTTAAAACTCTGAACTGTAATCCCAATGCTGACCTTAAATGGTTCCTAGAAGGTTGTAACAGAACCCATGGGCACCACACCAGAAACAAATACCTATTTGATATTCAAAGAGTGCGACTTAACCAAACTAGAAATTCATTATGAAAAAATATAACTAGAAAAAATTATGAAAGCAAAGATGAGTTATATACATGCTATGTTATACACTTCCCTTATAGGGCCCTGGTTTTCTGGAGGGCCAAGAGACTGAGGGCTGTCAGGTCTTTCGATCTTATCATCAGTGCGTCACAATGGGATACTTCACAATAGCTTGCTGTCCTATTTATTTACAGTACTTTCTTTCATGTACTTGTATATATTTGTATAAGTTATCGATACAGATTAGACAGTTAATTGGTACATTCTTGCAAAGACACTAATTTCCATGAGCAAATTCCCATTCTTATTACTAGTGTCTAAAGTAGTTTATCTTGACACTGTCCCAGTGGGTGCAATATCCAAGAGTAACATTAATTCAATGTTTAACATTTAATGAACTTTGAATTTGTTATTCTTGGATATTGTGTCCACTGGGTGACAAGAAAGTATTTTATAAGCTACAGAGCGAGCCTTGATTAGAAATAAAGCATCTAGTGAAATGAAATTTTTCTTTCTGAGCATTATTAGCTCCCTGCTCCCATCCTTTATTTCCCTCCTTACCCGAGCGTTGTCTTGGCTGAGTTGGGTGTAAAGTTGAGGCTTGCTCTTTTTCCCAAACATTGCCACAGTAATACTGTATTGCCATTGATTGGTGGTCGGTGTAGCAGGGTGTTAGGTCTTCAGAATTTTCAGATTAAATATTGTCGAATCTTGAATTGTCAAGATTTGTTTGAAGTAATTTAAAGGGTTTGTCATGATGGGCAGTTACCTCTGGGTTGCTTTAGGTATGCTCGCCACAGTAATTCATTTTCCTTGAGAAGAAGGACAATACAATTTGAAAAGGTGTATCTTCTTTTGAGAAATAGTCACTAAGAGCCTAATACAATGTTTGTTTCCTACAGAGACCAGTGGCACGAGTCATAGGGTAGCTACCAAAATGCTGCTCTGAAAGGGGCATTTAATTTTAGTGATTTAATTTGTTTAATTTGCACATATAAAAAAGTAATAAAATTCAACATGTGATATCAATGTTGGCCAAGGTTCAAATTTCATCACCTTGGCATTTCACCTGTTAATTTTTTACTGCTAATGTTTATTTTCATTAGATATTTTTCATGCAGGTTCTGGATACAGTAGCCATTATTATTATTTTTTATTGGTAATTATTTTATTTGGCAGTTGCGCAGCACCGGACACGATACTATCATGAGGCACGGGAGGGGCTCTACCGAGGACCACTCTTCATTATGAGCTACAACCTTTTCACTCTTCCTGTCTCCTACATCAGTGTTATGATCGCCTCTGCTATTGTTTATTTGTAAGTGCTGGTGTAGAGGCAGTAAGGTACAGAGGGCCAAAGATAGGTTAGGGGGCAGTGCTTGAATACAGCAAAAATAGCTAAAATGTATGTGTATTTATCTATTTTTGCCTGCAAGTAATTTGCTAAATTAGGAAACTTTGGCATGTATATAGTATTGCCACTTATCCTTTATAGAGTAAATACTGTACATTTCTGATCATCGTTCACATTCTTTCTGTGCAGCGGTCTGTCTCTGGATGATACCGAGGTGTCTGGCACAGACTGGTTGGGCTGGGCAATATTTGGGTCAGTGCTATGGGCAGTGTGGGCATTTGTAGAGCAACAAACTATTGCTCTGATGATGATTGTCAAGTCCTCGTACTCAGCTGGTGCCATCTCCGTAGCTCTTACAACCTTCTACCTCCTCGTGGCCTCTGCTTCACTAAGGTTAGTATTTACCTGGTACCTAATTTATCATATTTAATCTTTACAAAACTGTTAATAAATTTGTACATGATTCAGATGGGAGGGTTTTGTAAGTGCTGAGAGTAGGGGGGGAGGAGAATTTTTTTTATAAAACTGTACTATAAAACACATTGGGATAGACTATTTTACCATAAGAAATATGTATTTCCAATTTTATTAAATTACTTTTTAATTTGCCATATTATGTAATGTGTAATACAGTATTATATTAGTATATAATTTGTAATATTTAATATCACTTAGGTCACTGGTGCATCTTCCTGACTGGTTATACTACCTGGGCCATGTGATAGTGTTGAGGTACGCCTCTGCAGTCTTGCATGAACAAGTCTTTCTTGATAAACTGCCCAACCTACCTGTCAATGCCAGTGCCGACTGCCCAGACAACAATGCTGAGTACGGCTGCCGCTACAGAAATGGCACTTACTACCTCTTGGAGCGCTATCACTTCCCCGACAATGGTCTCGATCTCGGTCGTCAAGATCTTGATCTCTGGTCCAACTTTGGTCTTTCTTTTGCCTTCTTTGGTGGAATGTTTCTGCTCAACTTAGTTCTATATTTAGTGCCACTGCCTTCCTTTATTAAGTCAAAATTCAGAGATTAATGATGTGTGCAAAACTTAAAAAAAAAAAATAATAATAATTACATCCATTATTTATTTCTTGAGCACAAGATAGGTTACACGTTTCTATCATGTATGTGTTTGCAGCATAAATTTCTAAAATAAGTTTTCTCATTACAGCACAGTATTAATATATCAAATTGTGACAAGCTCTGGTGGTATTTTCAATAACAATAGGAGGTATGTATTGCATTACAATATTGTTTGTTAAAAGAATATAAAATTCAAAACATTTAATGGAGAGTAAAATTTTATCCCCTTGATGACTTTTTATGAGGTCAGATAGTGACTTTTAGCCTTTGAATATTCTATGCTTATAAGATAATATGCACTAAGCTTTCATCTAGCTATGGGACTGTTTTAGTAGCTCACAAAATATGATACAAAACTGATGCATGATCAAAAAGGAGTCAAAATTATTCGTACTCGGAGAATGCAGCACTAATGCTGCGGGCATACTTACCAAGCAACTGGCAAGTAAAGTTTATGAAGCCCTTCTACTGGCTTTGGGGATGTGGTAGAAGTAATGTTCTTGGTTGGGTACCTTTTTGTAGCAGAGGGCTCTCCTTCCATAAGGAAAACATTTTCCAGAGGAGCTGTAATAGTCTGAAAAGAAAAAAAAAAAAAATACAGCAGTATAACAAAATTTCACTTCCCTGAGTCCCCTATCCATCTGGCAGCGCAACAAAGGAAGGTATAATTACTCGAGTGATCCCAGGGGTAACAGGGAGAGTCTATGTAGGTAACTAATGGAGAGCGAGTGGCAACCCCCAGACTGGTAGGAATATCAACCCACCAAAGTCCGGCTTTGCCTGCTCGCTAATTGATTCTGTCATACCTCTCTGAACCAACTGTTTTGCTGGCTCCCTAGAACTGCACCTGATGGGTATGCTCACCTTACAGTTGAAAGGGAAACTGGGATTATACATTTTTACATACAGGTTTGGTCCTGCTCCCCCTACCCCAAAAGGTGTCTGAAGGAACCCACCAACATTGCTGGGCTTGAACAGAGCACTCGAGCCCCATTGCTGTGACATGGTAGGTGCCATGTGGGGTAGCTGTAAGAAAATTTCAACATTAATAATTATTTAACTTCGCTGTCTAAACGAATACTACATTGAGGTCCATTTCCTAAGCTACTTTTGTGCCTCTAGCCTCTCCGCTTCTGTACAGAGTATGGGGTGCATAATAAATGAACTAAGCCCATCTCATACAGGTATTGACACCTCCCAAATGTTCTGCTGAATGCTAACTACTGTATAGCCAGCCAACAAAACTAATTCAAGATTGTGCATAAAATAAGGTTTTTATCATACATATTAGCTAGGTATACAGTACTGATTATTGTGGGCACCACATCATCATCTCCCCCATCACCCTAATTTTCATTCCATCATCCAACCTCACCATCATCACTAGCACCCTATCCTTCCCTTAGCCTCATTATTTAACCAAGTCTTTAGACAACATGGAAGTCATCTTATATGGACCTATTTTTTCCACTGGCCTTTAGTTTTCATTATCAAAAGACATATATATATATATACAGTATACTGTACAGTGTTTGATTTTAGCCTACTGTGGTTTTTGGGAGAAAATAAAAGAAATAACTTAATCCACAACTTTATTAAATAAGATCGGGGTGAAAACAGCACTATCATATCCTCCAAAACTTGCACCATCAACACACTGCTGAACCCTTTCTTATAATCTAACATTTTATTGTTTTGCATTCTATTCTCACAAGATTTACAGTCAAGACACTTAAAAATTTTGTTATAAATCAGAACAAAGAAGCATCCTTTGTGCCCAAACATATTTATCACACAGGTTATAGCACCACAAATTATAATTTAGGGCAGCACAGAATTCACAACCCATCTCTGCTCCAAGACCCTTGATAGTTAAGGCCAGTCTTCACAAACCACTCACCCTTTTCTTCACTGCCCTTGGCCAAGGGCAAAATTCATGACCCATTAGTGGCCCACTCACTCTAATTGACTCCAGGACCCTCGATTGCCAAGGGCAGTAATCACAAGACTGCTAAAACAAGCTGGTGGCTAGATTCTCATTTTAATGGTTATATTGGTTAATTTCAAAATTAAAAAGTTAAATTGCAATTCCATCGAGCATTTAAACTCAAAACTCTGGAAACAGAGAACAGTTAATGTTACTCAGTTGGATTCAAAGTACACCACAACCACACTATGCAACTTCATTCATTATTTACACAAATTAAATATTTCTCAGGTCAGTTTATTATTAAAACAATATAGGATTTTTATCATTTTTTTTATGCCTAATATAGCCTAATAAGTTGCAACTACCTCCCCAAGGCACACTATAGACTGTGAACAGGTTCAAGAGCATACAGAACTTTAATTTATTCAACATTTAGCCGATGCAGCAGCTCCAGAAATAAGTACTGTATATAGTTTTGTCAAGATGCAACCCACAACAGTTACCTAATGCCCTGGTTCACCTATTTACTGCTAGGTGGACAGATGGTAATCTTAGAAAGACTGACCTTGAAACAAGTCACCAAGGGCACTGGTGACGTGTACTGAGTTAGATTACTAGTACTTGTTCTGACAAAGAGTACTGCAGCTCAGGAAGCAAGAGTAGCATGTAGAAGACGCAGACTGGGGTGCATCACAGGGAGTGATACACCCCGGCTGCACAACCAAGCATCCATCACCAAAAGACCTATGAAAAGAAAGGAACTCTTACTCAAAAAGGACAAAAGGACTTTTGTCGTGGTCTCCAAAACAAAACTAATAAAAGCCCCCTTGTGGTCAATTGGTCAATGTTCACAAACATGACTACTAGACGCAAGAGCCAACAAAAAAGCAGCCTTAAAATAAAAAGAATCCTCAACCAAACAACTTGCTCAACTGCTTGTCGGCATTAACAATGTTTGGGAACAATTGTCACTCGCTTGTTGCTGTCTACCAGCACACTGCTGGCTGGTATCATACAAGACCCTACTTTAAAACCATTCCTTGTTATTCTTGAAAATCTACACCAACAAAACTTTTAATAAATTGAGATCCCTGCTCTGCACCTGGCACTTTCTTTACAACATACTGCAACTATATCAATGTACACAAAGTCTCTCAGTGTCCAAGATAATGCAATGGCTTGGTTGCAATGATTAAAACTTAGAAACTGTCATAAATTACACAGAATTAATCTAAAATTAATATACTGTACAGAGTACAGAATCTATATGTTCCAAAGTGCCTGAATTACGATAAAATAACCCATCCTCAGACCAAGTTCATTCTATCCAGCAGTTGACCCCAAAGACGCATTCATCAATTTTTCAATGCTGTTCATTTAAAACAGAACTTTTCTCAAATATAAATTAATATTATATATTAGCATATTGTGCATATTTAGGCACTGGTTAGGTTAGGTGCTAAGGTTTTGTTGCCGATTACTGTATTTGTACAGTATTTGTAGTACGCGGGTAAAGCATTTACAGCATTGTGCTTCAAACAAAAGTTGTCAGCAAAGCACTTACTCCGGAAGTGTTCTGACGTCATCAGTTCCGAGTCATGCGTAAACTGTTTCTCATTCATAAATGGGTTTTGGCGGGTGAAATGAACTTTGGGTTTTTGTTTAGAGGACGGGCTGGATAAAATAGTTCAAACAAATAATTAAAACTTGTGGTTGTGTATTTAACAAGCTCTATTAAAATATTAATCTTAAATCATCATCTTCAAGTTATAAAGTAAATATAAACACAGCAATGAATGTTGTTATGAACCCAAATGTTAAAAATTTAATACTCTATATAATTTATGTATATTCCAGGCCTTTCAATTAAATACATTTTACAATGGAATTCTTGTCTATCTATTCTTGTCTATCTATCTTCATTTGGGTCTTAATTTAGCATTTGGATACGTATATGAACTACCCATGTACACATTATAATCCTTATAAACACTTACTCATATACAGTAACACACACACACACTTAAGCAAAACATGTAAAATACTTATTATTTTCTTGATCTCAAATTAATAAAGGATTTACTGTATAAAAAAAATTCCAGCAATATTTATGTTATAAATTTTCACAGGAACTGTGAACAAGGCTGACTTTTCATCTAAATGGAAGGCATCAATGGGACTTTCTAGATATTAGTCCCAATGATGTCTTAAAAAATAAAAAAAGTATTGGTATGCACATAATTATAATGAAAGTTCGGCTCAAAGGCCAAGCACTGATACTGGGCGTCAATCATTCTGCGGACAAAAGTTTGGTTTTCCATGTTTCCAATTCAGGTGAGAATTTACACCACATTAACATATAAAAATAATTACAGTATTTTGCTATACTGGAGTCACTATTCCCTTTCACATTACTGTGCAGGAACATTAATCACAAATTCTTAATTTCCAACCCATATGAAAGGACCATATCTCAAACTAATTTCTCATATTATAAACTTTTTTTTCCTAATATTGTAATTTATTTACCTACTTGGTTCAGCAGCCTTTCAACATGTGGCACTTCACCTGTATGACACACTCCTCCATATAATATTAATGAGAAACTATTTTAAAACGTAAATAAAATAAATTTTTGTGAGGTTGATACACCTCAGTATCACTCGACCATACTTTATTTTTATCTTTCAATCTGTCTATATAGATATATTTTACAGATATAACTTATGGTTGGTGTTAAATTATCACTATAACAATGAAAATGATCTTTACTAACATTTGGCCAAAATGGGCTAATAACTAGTAATACTACAAACTACAGCTTGCTGGCTAATGCCACCCTTTATTCCTGGCTCACAATCATAGAATCCGGATTAATAAATACGTGATATTTGATCATTTTGCGGGTAAAATTGTAATGTGACAAAGAAAATCAGCATTACCACATCTCCCTCCCCAACGTTAAACCTATAATAATAACGATACTTTCATGTGAGAAACTTCTTAAATCTTTACTATGCAATGCTGTGCACTTAACTTTTATGATATTCTGTATGTGAGAAATCATTATTTACATGATAATTTTTTAATTCTGTATTGTCTTATATGATAATATAAATAGCAATCTAATACATTTAATTCCCGACAAAACAAGTGAATTAAGAAGCAAGATTGAAATTCTACAATAGTTCCTTTATTCCATTACTAAGGAAATTTATTGTGCCAGTGTAATCCTTTCCTCCACTTCTAAATGTCAATAACTGGCAAGTATTACT